ATGTACACATGAACACCATGTGCACATTATGTTCACATGTACACCATGTACACAGTACTTGCACATGTACATCATATACCCATTATATAAACATATACATTATTTACCCATTAGGCATGGACATACAATATATGCACGTGTACATATATGTGAAGAGTATGTACATATGTACACTATGTATGCATATATACATATAATGTAGACATGTATTTTCTGTACACGAGTACATAATATGCAACATATGTACATGTATAAAATATGTACACACATGCATGTACACCCGCTTTGGTAATTGAAGTAATTTCTATCTAACATGCTAAGAGTATATCCCAGAAAGTACTTATAATGTGTACATTTATTGGCATATTACAATAAATGTATAACTTTATCCCTAACCCTTACTATAACCTTAAGATATATAAAATGTACATCTATTGTCATATCAAAATGACATTATAACACAACAGCATATATAATCACAATAAACATGTAATACATAATATCAATATAATCATACAGATTGCCAACATTATGTACATTTATGTTTATTGTTTGATGATGTGTATGCATGTACATCATGAACCCATTACGTACAGATGCGCAATATATGCGCGTGTATATTTTTGTGCAAAATATGTACATACGTATGCACATGTACATATTATATAGACATGTACATTTTGTGCACGAACACGTAATATGCACAATATGTACACGTAAAAACCATGTACACATTCGGGTGTACTTTCACTTTTGTCACCAAAGTAATTTCTATTTTATATGCAAAATATTATATCCCAGAATGTACTCATCATATGTAAATTCTTTGGCAAATCGCATAAAGTGTATAAAAGAGGTACAGTCTGTACAAGTACTCTGGTTTACATATGTTTACACAATACAGATGTACAATAAATGTAAACCTGCACAATATGTATATTATATGCACATAATGCATGCAAATTGGTTATGTACATAATGTGCACAATATGCCCATTGAATTTAATATCACAATATTATATAATCAAAACAGCATATAAAATCACAATGCACGTATAATACATAGTATCAATATAAATGTACAGATTGCCCAAATATGTACATTTATATTTATTGTAATATTACAATATATACACATGAACATTATGTACACATTACTTTCACATGTACACCACATACCCAATACGTCCACATATACATCATGTACCCATTATTTGAACATGTATATCATGTACTCATTAGGCACAGATGTACAATATATGCACATGTATATATGTGTGCACAGTATGTACATATGTACACTCTGTATGCATACATACATATAAGGTAGACATCTACTTTCTGTGCACTAGTACATAAGATGACCTCTATGTACATGTGTAAACTATGTACACATGCATGTACACCCACTTTGGTAATTGAAGTAATTTCTATCTAACATGCTAAGAATAATATTTCAGAAAGAACTCATAATATGTACATTTATTGGCATATTACAATAAATGTATAACCCTAACCCTAACCCCAACTTTAACCCTAACCCTAAGGTGCATAAAATGTACATCTATCATTATATCAAAAGGATATCATATCACAACAGCATATATAATCACAATAAACACATAATACATAATATCAATATAATTGTATATATTGCCAACATTATGTACATTTACATGTATTGTTAAATGACGAAGTGAATGCATGTACATCATGTACCCATTACATAAAATGCGCAATATATGTGCTTGTACATATGTGTGCAAAGTATGTATATACATACACACATATACATAATACATAGACATGTACATTATGTACATGAGTACATATTATGCACAATATGTGCACGTATAAATCATGTACATATTCGGGTGTACTCCCACTCTTGTCACCAAAAATATTTCTATTTAATATGCAAAAATTTATATCCCAGGATGTACACATCATATGTGCATTTATTAACATATCGCAACAAATGTATAAAAGAAGTACAGTCTGTACAATACTTTGGTGTACATATGTTTAAACAATACAGATGTACAATAAATGTAAATAATCTGTGCAATATGTATATGTACATAATGTGTGCACCATAGTTATGTATGTAATGTGTAAAATATGTCCATATACTGTAATATCACAATGATATTATATAATCACAACAGCATATAAAATCACAATGCTTATGTAATACATTATATCAATATAAATGAACAGATTGCAAACATGTACATTTGCATTTATTGCAAGATTACGATATGTACACATGAATATCATGTACACATTATGTTACCATGTACACCATGAACCCAGTACGTTTACATGTACGTTGTGTACCATTATGTAAACATGTTCATCATGTATCCATTAGGCACGGATGTACAATATATGCACATTGACATATGTGTGCAACGTATTGACATATGTACACTATGTACACATACATATATAAGGTAGACATGTACTTTCTGTACACGAGTACATAAGATGCACAGTATGTATATGTATAAACTGTGTACACACATGTGTGTACACAAACTTTGGCAATTGAAGTAAATTATATCTTACATGCTTAGAGTAATATCTTAAGATGTACTCATAATGGGTACATTTATTGGCATATTACAATAAATGTATAACCCTAACCCTATCCCTAAAATGTATAAAATTACATTCATCGTAATATCAAAATGATATTATATCACAACCGCATATATAATCACAATAAACATGTAATACATGATATCAATATAATTGTACACATTGCCAACATTACGTACATTTACATTTATTGTTTATTGAAGATGTGTGTTCATGTACATCATGTACCCATTATGTACAGATGTGCAATATATGCGCGTGTACATACGTGTGCACATGATGTACATAGGTTCACAAATGTACATATTATGTAGACATGTATATTGTGTGTGTGAATAGGTAATATGCACAATATGTACAGTTGTAAACCATGTACACACCCGGGTGTCCTCCCACTTTTGTCACCAAAGTAATTTCTATTTAATATGCAAATAATTATATGCCAGAATATACTCATCATATGTACATTTATTGTCATATCACAAGAAATTTATAAAAGAGGTTCAGTCTGTATAACTACTCTGGTGTACACAAGTTTACACAATACAGATGTACAATAAATGTAAATAATCTGTGCAATTTGTATATTATATGTACAGAATGTGTGCAAATATATTATGTACAAAATATGTCCAATATGTACATGTATTTTAATATTACAATGATATCATATATTCACAACAGCATATAAAATCACCATGCACATGTAATACATAATATCCATATAAATGTAGAGATTGCAAACATTATGGACATTTACATTTATTGTAATATTACAATATGTACACATGAACATCATGTACACATTATGCTCACATGTTCACCATGTACCCAGTACGTCCACATGTACATCATGTAACCATTATGTAAATATATACATTATGTACCCATTATGAACAGATGTACAATATATGCACGTGTATATATGTGTGCACAGTATGTACATATGTACACTATGTGCACATACGTACATATATGGTTGACATGTACCTTCTGTACACGAGTACATAATATGCACACTATGTACAGGTACAAACTATGTACACACATGCGTGTACACCCACGTTGGTAATTGAAGTAATTTCTATCTAATCTGCTAAGAGTAATATTTCAGAATGTACTCATAATGTGTACATTTATTGGCATATTACAATAAACGTATAACCCTAACCCCAACCCCAACCCTATCATTTACCCTAAGGTGTAAAATATGTAGAGCTATCATAGTAACCAAATGATATTATCACAACAGCATATATACTCACAATAAACATGTAATACATCATATCAATATAATCGTACGGATTGCCAACATTATGTACATTTACATTTATTGTTAAATGGCCCTTTGTATGCATGTACATCATGTACCCATTACGTACAGATGAGCAATATGTACGCGTGTGCATATTTGTGCATATTATGTCCATACGTACCCACAGGTACATAAAATATAGACATTTACATTGTGTATTCGAGTACCTAATATGCACAATATGTACATGTATAAACCATGTACACACCCGGGTGAACTCCCACTTTTGTCACCAAAGTAATTTCTATTTAATATGCAAAATTTATATCCCAGAATGTACTCATCATATGTACATTTATTGGCATATTGCAAGAAATATATTAAAGAAGTACAGTGTGAACAAATATTCTGGTGTACATATGTTTACCTAATACAGATGTATAATAAGTGTCAATAATCTGTGCCACATGTATATTATATTTACATAATGTGTTCACAATAGGTATGTACATAATGTGTACAGTATGTCCATTGATTGTAATATCATAATATCATATAATCACAACAGCATATAAAATCTCAATACACATGTAATACATAATATCATATAAATGTACAGAGTGCAAAAGTAAGGTACATTTACATCTTTGTAATATTACGATATGTACTATTTCTTTTTCTTCTTTTTTAAAGTTGGGTGGGTTTTCACCTGGATGCCCAGGCTGACCGGAACTCGTGACGGCAGTTGACCCGCCAACCTCGGCCTATTAAAAATCTGGGATTGCTGGCCTGAGTCAAAGGGCCAGGCACAGCCTCTTTCCTTTCTTTTTTAACAATAAATTCCGTCGGCCAAGAACGGTGCATCATGGGAGCCTGTCATACATGTGCTTCAAAGACCAAGGGGTGTGCATCTCGCGAGGTTATGGGTTTGAGACCGGCCTGACAAACACAGCAAAACCCCATCTTTAAGACAAAAAAAACTTGGGTTGGGCTCGGCGACTCACACCTGTAATTTGAGAACTTTGGAATGCTGAGGTGGGGGGATCGTTAGGTCACAATTTTGAGACTTGCCTCGAATGACACAGCTCAACCCTCTCCCTATAAAAACATATAACCAAAAAAGCTGAGACAGGCATTGCATGTGCTCTATTCGGCAGCACATACACTAGAATTGGGATGGTACACAGAAGGCTGGCGTGGACCCAGTGCAAGACTGACACGCCAAATGTCTGCAGCGTTTTGTATTTTTTTCTTTCTTTGCCCATGCAGCTGTTTTGTAGAATCAAATACAGATTAATTTGAGGTACCAAAAAAAATGAAAGTTAGCTTGATGTGGTGATGTGGACACCTGCAACCCCAGTTATTTTGGAGGCATCAACAAGATGATCACTGGAACCCAGGAGGCAGTTGTTGCAATAAGCCAAACTTGCACTGTTGCACCTCCAGCCTGGGTGACAAGAGGGAAACGATTCGTAATAAAGAAAGGCAGAGCATGGGTTGGAGTCCACCCAGCACCTAGTATTCTT